AACGGCAAGCGCAAGCTGGCCACGTCCTCGGGGGTCGCGGCGTGCGCGGCCAAGCACATCACGGCCGCGACCTACAGGCACGATGGCCTGGACGGCCTGACCAAGCTGTGGGCGGGCAGGATTGCTGGCCTCAAGGCTCAGGCGGTGGTGCCAGGCGGAATTTGGTTCTTCTCAGTCTGCTTGTTCGATGGGCTCGTCTTCGGGGGGTAAGCGCATCACGCTCCTGCGCAGTCTGGACCCCTTGCTGGCGGAGCTGCGCTCGCCGTGGGTGATCGGCGGCAACTGGGACATGCCTGCCAGCGACGGAGGGATCGCCAGCTGGGCGCAGCTCCTCGGGGCCTCAGCGGTTGCAGCGGGAGGCGCGACCTGCCGCCCCGCCGCCGGGGCCCCGAGGGAGCTGGACTTCTTTGTTGTGTCGCGTGGGCTCGCCTCTTGCGTGCGCCAGGCGATGGTGCACGCGGAAGCGCCCTCGGCCCCCCGCTCGCCGATCGAGCTGTGCATGTCGGGCTTCTCGCTGAACCTGTCCGTCCAAGTCCGCCTGAAGTGGGGGAAGTTCCCGACGGCGAGGCAGGTGGGGCGCCTCCCCGAGCCGATGGTCCACAGCTGGAGCTGGGCGGCGGGGGAGGGCCCAACAAGCGTGGGCCTCGTAGGAGCGTGGCAGGAGTGGCTCAGGAACATGGAGGATGAGCTCTGCTGCCAGTTCGACCTTCAAGGGCCAGCGGGCGAGAAGCATCGCGGCAGGGCCGACGGCATGAGCCCCCGCACCGTCGCGCTGGACGCGTTGGTCATGCGGCGCCAGTCGCCAGGCCAGTCTGAGGCCAACAGCGCCTGGCGATCCCTTGCCGCGGTGCTGGACAGGGCGAGGTCGCTCTGGAACGGCCACGCGGGCTCCAACCACAGCGGGGGGGGGGGGCGGAGGGTGCGAGCGGCCTGCCGCGGACGCGCGGGTGGTCGACGCCTCCCGCAGCACCCAGCTCACCGCCGACGCCGCCGACGGGCGGGTGGCCGATGCCGTCCGCGGTTCGAGCCCCGCCCCCCCGCATGGTCAGGACGCCCTCGGGGTAGCGCTGCCGCTTGGTGGGCGGCCCTTCCTG